AAATGCATGGTCAGATGAATTGTAGTTGGTCAGAAGTTCAGCTAGACATGTAGGTTATAAAAAGGCTATAACTATCTACTTATAACCATGCCATGCTCTAAAAAAACCTTTCAGAGAGAGAGTGGTAAAACTATTACATTGGTCAAGTGACATTTCTACAGGCTTCACATGTAGCCACTCTTGAATATTTCAATTCAATCCTATCAAAACATCTTATACTACTCTTACCACTGTATCTACTCTTACTAAAGAGAAATATGTAGTACAAGTTTCCTTGTTACTCTTATCCTTTCATGAAAATTCACTGCCTCCTGAACATTTCATTGTTGAAATTAAAACGTTTTCTAACCAGTTGAATGAAAATAACAGGTGCACTGTGTCTTCAAATAATACTTTCCAGGTCAATTATCACAGAATTTCATATGACATTCTTAACATTCAGATCAAATCATATATTTTCATTCAAATGTTGTTTAACTGTTGTGCTCTTTTTGTAATTTCTCAATTTGTATTATAAAACACTCATGAATGGCATTATGTAATGTTCATATAAATGTGTAAGACCACACACATATATTTATTTATACACATATACTACTATACTCATATATCAACATTATAAATTGTCAGATATGCAAGTAGCTTCAACCAAACTGCTTCCAGGTTGCATGTGAATTACTTTGGTAACCTTCTGAGGTTGCTTTTCACAACTTGTGTTTCAACAGCACTGCAGTACCATAATGTAATGCCATCTGTGAACCATTAAACCCAAAATTTTTTTATTTACAGCCAACATTAAATAAATATTCAATGTTATAATTCAAAATAAGAATTTCCAGCATAAATTCTCATTTGCCAGGATTAATATTTGGGCTGTTTCTACAGTATATATACACACTTTGAGAAAACACAACTACATCTGTTTTCAGGCTAGCCCTGAAGTTTTCTGTCTCCATTGACCAATGAAGTCCCCATGGAAATCAAGCTCCTACTGAATTTATCAGTGATAAGGGAAGTGCTGATTTCCATTACATTGGCTTCTGAGGAGCCCAGTCTTCAAGCATTTCAATGACAGACTCCTCAGCCATCACCAACTCTTGTGAAACAGGAGTTTGTGAAGTAATCCAGAAGACATAGGAGCCTGTCTCTGAAGTATCCTGTTGTAGAGAGCCCAACAACCAAGCACTGCTGGCTCCAAATGTGCTCTCACCATTGGTGAAATCACTACATACCAAAACCCAGGAAACCTATCCAGAACATGGATTCTCTTGAGAGTCGAGTAGGCTCCAGGAGGGTCGCAGCAAGGTGAGATTCCAGAAAAATGCCTGCCATCTCAGGACCTAATGCCACCACATCAGATGTCAGATGAGTCAGCTGGCTCTTGGATCACCACTGCTGCATAAGGAATTTGATACTAATGTTAGCCTTCATACCAACTATCATTTCATCAGAGAAACACAGGTGAGGTTCTTCTACCATGATGCTGTTTGAGATACCACCAGCAAAAGTGCATCATAAGTTACTTCAAAAGCAGCAATGACCAACTTGCTGATGATCATACCCACCACCATTACTGACTATGCAATAGATCCATCTACTAAAGTGGCACTGCAAGATCTTATATTTATATTTCTTCAATTCTAATGTGATTTTTTTAAGTATTTAAATTATGCATTTGAGCGTATTTCAATTTTATTTTACTTTGTGGTAACCACTGTGTCCTTGTTAAAGGGTATTTTTTTTTTCAATATATATACATGAGGTTAATCATTGTTAAAGGACTTGTTTCATTTTGTATCACAACTGTTACCTCATTTTTAAAGGATTTATTATTTCATAGTGTGATCTCTCTTACATATATTTCCTTTTCTTTTGTACTTTTTAATGAAGGGTTATTTTATTTAATGTTTTTTTATTCACTTTTGGGGAAATTTGTTTTACCTGAAAATATCTCACCCGTACTGGTAAGATAGCAAAGAGGAGCTAATAATAAAGGAGCTCCTGCTAATAAATACCTCAGAGAAGCTAGCTCTCTTTCCTTGGAGCTTGAAGGAACACCAATAACATCAGCTGTTGTTTCTGCCTGTCTCACTAGTGCTTTCCCCAAAGGTCACCACCACCACAGCCCATGCAGTCAACCATACTGAATGCAATTCCACTGGAGCCTATCAGGGTAAAACAGAAGACAAAAAGAGGGGGAAATGTAGCTGTTCCATTCTGTGCTCCATTGGGGAATGCAAGGAAATCTGATAATATAGGAATGATATATACAATCACCTCCAATCAGACCATTTGATACCAAAATGAAGGAAAACTTTCCTGGGGCTGAAGCACAACCACGAAACACAAGAATTCTTGGGACACAACTTTACCCTTCATCATTAGATAACTGTAGTAGTTTCATTATTTCTTCATCATTTTGATGTGATATATACCTTTGTCTTCTTCTTTCAATAACTTTGATAGCAATCATCATCTATGTTTCGAACTTACAACTGACAAGTGTTGCCTCTATGACATATTTGACATTACCATTCTTTTTCGGATAACTTTAGTATTTATCCTTGATGTTTTCATGACCATTAGTGGGATTCAACTAAAATGTTGTGTTTCTATTAAAGGGTTTTCTTTATCAATAGTTTAATCACCAACATTGTAATTCAACTATTCTTGTAAACTGTAACTATTAAAGTTTTTTTTTTTTGTCAAATGCTGTTATTGCTAAATAATGATTTCTTTATTACTAAAGGTTTGTTATAAAAACTACATTAACTGTAGATGGTTCTTTCCAGCCCAATTAACAAATTCTGGTATGGAAACAAAAGGCTTATTGGGCAGTGACTTGTGGGAGACGAATACAGGTTTTAAAGGCTGTTTTTACACACCTTAGATTTTGAATCCAGAATGGACAAATTGAGAGGAATGTGGGAAAAACATCTGTAGTTAATATTATTTTTATCAAGAATTTTGAGGCCTGTTTGTTTCTAATGCTTTGCCAGTTTTTGGTATTTAAACTATAAGTATTAATGTGTTATTAACGAGTGTGTGTGTTTATATTTTTCAACTTTTGTACTTTGTGTTACTGTAATACTTGTACTTAAGTTTGACTAGATTCTCATAGATAAAAGGTTATGTTGTCTATCTTATTTACATGTAGTGCTATGTAACTATTTTACAGGGATAGGTGCAACTTACACCAGTTTCACGCCCAATACACCATCTTCTTTTTTACATTTAATTGCTTTTTTAATTTAAAGTTAGCAAAGAATGGCAAAGGTTGGACTAAAGGTAGAGAGGGATAAATGTTTTATTTACCTTTGTAGTTTAGATAGGTTAATGTGTTGCATTCATAAAAATCTTCATATTCATTTTCAAAGTGTATTCAATTTAGACGATAGCGAGTTGGTTCTGAAACCAGGATAAACTCCTGTTGCTGTTATTACCTATTGTTCTGGTCTGGGTCATTTCCGCTTTGGTTTAAGGTGCACTTTCTAGTGGGAAGGATTGTTCTAGGAACGAATAGTTAGATACACGATGTGGGCAGCAATCTTGACCATTAGTGAGTCACGAGATGTGTGGAGAATATATCCTCCCTATTTTTACATGTGGAATGACCAACAGTGACACGGGTAATGCACACACACACTGAGAGAAATAAAACTCTTGGTTTTTATATAGTGTTAATTAAACTCTCTGTCTTAAAGTATATTTTAACAGTTATCTCGATAGACTAGTCAGGTTGTCGACTAGTAAAGATCTCTGTCTCCAGTACTAGATAGAAGTGCTGAATTGTATTTTGTACCTCTTTTGCTTAGTAAAAAATTGTTTGTGTTCACTGTCAAATTGTCTTGTGTCTACTTTCAGTTCAGTCAGGTAGAACATTCAGCTGCTTAGTTTAAAAAGCTTACACCTGAGAACTGTAGATCTAAACACTAGCAAAGAAAGGATGTGTCATCATTAATGGGTTATATACATTTGTAGCTGCAGACTATTGTCTTTTTTCATTAAGTTTTCAAACAATAATTTAGCGTGATTATTATCACGAATATTATGTCGAGCGTGATCTCGTGCGAGGGTTCATGGTCCGTAAACTATCCCAACATAAACTTACACGTCACCTTGTGGAGTGGATGCTTTATAATGGTGAGGATTAAGTCCTTCTATTCATTCACTCAGCAAAGAGTAGCCAAATGATTGATGGTGGATGCTGTTAATTAACTGCTTTCCCTCTAGTCTATTAGTTCAAAATTAGAAACGGTTATGCGCTTAAACCCTTTTTCGTATTTACTGCGCGAAAATTTGAAACGCACAAATCGCTAATATTAGGCTTAAGGACTCCATTGCCTTACCATTGTTCGGTATGTAAACACTGACGCTGCAACGTTAAGTTTTTTCGCGTCCTCTTAGATGACGAGTTTTCGTATTGAAGGAAATACCTACTGGAGAATAATGTGTTGCAGACAAAACATAGTTCTGAAATACTATTTTCACACACCTCTGATTTAATTCCGTAATTGACTTATTGAAGGTAATGGGGAAAAAAGTCTGTAGTCCATTTAGTAGGGCGATTTTTATTTTCTTACGTTGGTTGGTTTATCATTTAACAAGCTTTCAATGTTCATCACGGAAACATATAGTTTTTTTTTCCCCCAAGATATACTGATGCTTCTTGAGGGCTAAAAAATCTTGCACTTGTTCTTCATAAAACCCAGTTGTGTGTATGTGTAGATTATTTCAAAGAATAATATTTATTACGTTAAGAAAGTTTTTTTTTTTTTAGGTATTTTGGAAAATATAGAAGGCCTACATTTGAAGGAATGCATTTGAGCAATGGCAAGTGAGAGATAAAATGTATGTACTATTGAGAAGGTGGATTATGGACTATCTTTTTAAGTACGCATAAGAAAGGTATTATTACATTGATACTGTAACTTAAACAGAATTTGGGGTACAGTGTTATGGATTATTGAAAATTGAAATGTGTTCTTGTTTCATTTCAGTGGGAAAAATTGCGAATGTCTCCAGTAGAGCGACGAAAAATCTTGTGTTCCATTACTTTCCATGGTATCGCCATCACATGCGTTGTGTGGTCGCTTTACGTTCTTCTAGATAGAACTGCAGAAGAAATGAAATCTGGTGTCCTGGAGTGGCCGTTTTGGACCAAGCTGATCGTTGTAGCTATCGGGTTTACCGGTGGCGTCCTCTTCATGTATGTGCAATGTAAGATGTATGCACAGCTCTTTCAACGCTGGAGATCGTACAATCGCATCATTTTTGTCAAAAATGCTCCAGAAAAATCCATGGTTGTAACAGAACTCTTGCCTTCAAAGATCGAAGAAGCTGTAATGACGGATAAGGCTCATTCGAAGGATGTTTCACCGGTCGAGGAATTCCACAGCTGTAACAGTGGTAGCGTTAGTGACTTAGTCGCCATTGAAAAAGACGAAATGGAAGCTGGGTGTGCCAGTGATGCAACCAGCAACGTTTCCGCGAATGACGAAGACCCTCTAATCGTTACAGTTGTCTCGGAAGAACCTGATAACCGAAACTGTAAGCTATGGCACAGTGAAGACCAGGAGAATGTATGAGCGTTGAGCTCAAAATAATAATGAATCGATAAATTGAATAAATTAGTGTAACGCAACATTATTCTATGTATAGCCACGTAGTTTCGTGGTTCGAACGTTTTTTTTTTCAAACTATGCTTAATGTGATTCCTGTGACAACTGCATTTTCGAAGAGTTTGGTAAACATCCGTTAAAGAGCATCAGTTCTTACGGTATCCGTAAGTGGACTGTGTGAAGATGCTGCGAGATAAATTTAATATATCCATTATATTGAACCATTGACATAAACTTTGTTGTCATTTTTCCTCGAGTTACGAAATAATAAAAAAAAAAGTTTAGTGTTCAAAGCGTTTCCTCGTTGACAGTAGCTACATATGTTAGCAACGTACGTGCATGTGAGCGTTTGGAGAGAAAAAGTTTTGTGATGTAACACTATTTCTTTGTCGTTTAGAAAATAATGAAAACTGAAAAATAAATTACATTGAATTTAAGTATTCTATATTATTATTCGTGAAAATACATAATTTATACTAACTTTAACACTTAAATTATAACTTATATTTGTCACGTGAAACTAACTATATTAGTATTCTAGTCAATATCTTGCGTGGTTTCCAAGTACACGTTAACAGTTCTGAAATCTGACATTTGTAGAAGTCTGTTATTTCAAACTACTTAAAATAATGTAGTTTATCATAAACTTTGTGTTATTATTTTAATATTTTCACCTTTGTCGAATTCCTGTAAATAGTAGTCTTTTCTAAGATCGAGGATAAAAGATTAAACTCGGATTTTAGTTAAATAGATTATTTCGTTCTGGGTTTATAAAGCGTGGGGAACGTGCTTCGCAAGCTGTCATGTTTATAAAGTGTGATGATTTTTTTATTATTTGTGAATAAAAGCAGTTGTGACCTTAAACAGTTATTTTATTTGTTTTAATATCACGGTATGGATAAAAGGTTAACATTCTAATGGTGTTGGTCGATGTTTACATGATTTGTTCGAGATTATTACCAGTATTTTTAGTTTTGCATAAAATAAAATGTTATTTATTTTATACATGTTGCATGACCTTAAAACTAAATTATCCTATACTTTAGAACTAATAGGTTGTCTGAACTTTGTAATTTATTAAAGCTATGTATAATTAATCAGTAGTCATGAAAATGAAAAGATACTGATTAATGTACATGCTTGGTTGAAGTAGTTTAATCTGTAAACTACATCTAATTATTTAATAAGTGTTGATCATCTACTGACATTCTAAATTTCCAAAGATCTGGTTGGACAGCAAACTTTGTTTTCTTTACTGTAGTGCATGTTTCAAAGTTCTAACTGTTGTACCTATATAACCTCGTTCAGTCGAGGACAATTAATCATATAAATATGTATAGGAACCTATATAACCTCGTTCAGTCGAGGACAATTAATCATATAAATATGTGTAGGAACCTATATAACCTCGTTCAGTCGAGGACAATTAATCATATAAATATGTATAGGAACCTAGTATAACCTCGTTCAGTCGAGGACAATTAATCATATAAATATGTATAGGAACCTATATAACCTCGTTCAGTCGAGGACAATTAATCATATAAATATGTATAGGAACCTATATAACCTCGTTCAGTCGAGGACAATTAATCATATAAATATGTATAGGAACCTATATAACCTCGTTCAGTCGAGGACAATTAATCATATAAATATGTATAGGATAGTTTTGGGAAACGAATTATAACTTTAAAAAGAAACTGGGAATACTTAGTCATTTAAAAATAATTCTCCCGTCAACCTGTGGATAATGTTTTGTTTCAACTTTTCTTACTCTTTCCTTTAAGCTATATAGTCTATCTTTGCTAAATGTTATAGAACGGGGACCAGCGGATGACGTTAGTACGTTATAAATGACAGCATCGGTGACGTTTTGCTCGCTGTATTTCCTTATTACTCTGTTTACAACGTTCAGCGAAAACCCATTATTCAGTAACACCGTTTTGATTTTCATTAGTTAATTTTGATACTAATTAACACCACTGCACAACTAAAAAGCCCTTTGGATTAGAATGATGAAAGTTCTTTTTAAATTTATGTGGAATAAACATTCAAAATTAAAATATAAACCGATTAAAGTAATTTATGATAACAGTCAACTTTAAATATTTAACTTTGTTTCTGATCTTGGTGTCTAATAAATTCTGAATTCATTTGCTGCTTTACTTTGAATTTATCACATTTGTGTTGCTTATAATCCAAAATTAATTTAGCTTGGGACCACTCTTTAACTAGTATAAAAGTATCATCAATGTATCTTTCGTAGATCAGAGGTTTATGTTCGCCCGGATTGTTCTCTAATCAAATGCATTCATTTTCACATTGGAACAAGTTAGCCAAAATTGTGGCTAATCTTGACCCCTTGGTAAAACCATCAACCTGATCATAAAATTCACCACTAAACTTGACTGCTTGATAGCAAACTCAAGAAATTCGTGAAATGTGTACTTGGTCGAACCATTAATATTCTATTAATTTTTTACAAACAAAGTAACACATCAGTTTTATTACTTAAATAAGTGGAATGTTTGTATATAAAGATCCTATATGAAAACTAGCGCAGAAAACTATTATCAAATATTAAACTTAAACAAATAAAGCAAATACGAAGCTCTCCTTAACTGTATAATCGTTTTTGATAAATTCTTTGAGAAATGGAATAAAAAAACCGTTAATTCATGATTAAACATGGCATTATTAGATACTATATACTATAGGTCTGATAGGAATATGAATTTTATGAACCGTTGATAATCCATATGGAAAATTTGGTTGTTCGTAACTCTTTCTTTAATTCCACCAAACATGTTCGCTCTTTCAGCCATGGGGACGTTATAATGATGCGGTCAATTCCACTATTCGTTGGTAAAGGAGTAGTAGCCCAAGAATTGACGGTGGGTGATGACGACTAGCTGCCTTCCCTCTAGTCTTTCACTGCTAAATTAGGGACGGCTAACGCAAATAGCCTTCGTGTAGCTTTGCGCGAAATTCAAAACAAACAAAGCTTTCTTTAATTTGAGAAGAAACTTCTATAACTCGCGCTGTCTCCTAGTTGTAGGATCCTCCGTTAGTTGTTGGAATTCACTCTGATCGTTCAAAATATTTAATTTTTTCTAATATAAATATATTTATTCAGTATGACAACACCATTATCTTTGTCAGGTTTTTAGAATAACTATATTTTTGTTTTGTCTTTGTAATTTTATTAATACTCCATTTTCACTTGTAGAAATATTATGTTTAGGTTTCCATAGTACTCTTGGAAACAATCCGAGGCATTACCATATATGATTGTATAAATATCGGAAAAATTGTTCAATGAGTGAACAAAATGAATAATTATTTTTTGGGGGGGGGGACAATACTGAAAACTTTAGGTTTTTAGCTAACACTTTTTCACAGAGTGATTTAGAGGTACTCAAAAAATTATGAATTACTTTATCTAGATCATCCAAAAAGAGAGTAAAGTTGATCTGTTTTATTTTCAAGGTTTTTAAATTATTCAACTTCGTCAAGCGAATTTTATCCAACCTTTAATTAACCGAATGAAATGTCAAGCCACAAGTAAGATTTTAGTGTTTTTTTAGGGACAACATTTCTGTTCCAAAATGATAACATATTATCTATATGAATGACTGTCCTCGATGAGGACGAGGTTATATAAGTTCAAGTGTTAGAACTTTTGAAAGATGCAGTAAAGGACATGCAACTAAAGCAAAATAGACTGTCTTCTGTCCAGCTACATGCTTGGTTTGTTTGTTTTGAATTTCGCGCAAAGCTACACGAAGGCTATCTGCGCTAGCCGTCCCTAATTTAGCAGTGATGGACTAGAGGGAAGTCAGCT